TGAATCTCTCGTATTTAATACTTCATCTGTTCACTGAAGTCTCATCAGAAATGTTCTCAATGGAAGGATTCGGGGAATCACAGAGAAAAGGCTGAGGTATGCCAGATTGCACAACTGGACTGAACATGATGTCTTACGAAGAGACGAGTGCAAATTTGAAATTTTTGGTTCAAATCATTCTCAGCATGTACGGAGGACATCGGGAGAGCATGACAATGATCCCGAACACCCAACTAAAGCAGTAAAAACATACCTGGAAAAACACTAATGCTATGAAATACTATGAGTCACGGCTTGTCCTCGCCGAGTCTGGACCTCAACATTCTTAAAGCAGTGTGGGATCATCCTGACATAGAACGGACCAACAGGAAGCAAAATACAAAGAAGAGAGTTGAATGTCCTCCAGGAAGCCCAGAGAACCACGACTGAAGACTACTTAAAAAAATCTACAAGAAAGCTTGTCTACGAGAGTCCAGGCTGAGATGAAGAATAAAGATTAACCCTATCCCAAATATTAACTTTTAATATGCTCATTAGAAATGTACAAATATACTGTTTTTACCTTATATGCTCCATTTCCATTTATATTTTTATATTTCAAATCGCTGCACCTATTCCCACTTTCCTAGCAAAATATTTAAAAAAAAAATGAGGAGTGACTCAAAATTTCTGCACAATACTGTATGCCTGTGATTATGGCTGTGAGTGGTTATATATAACCACGTACCGAAAAGCAGTTCCATCTTCACTCTCTAACACCCATGGGATCTAATGACACAGCCAGGGGGTTATGCTTCGTCGTGGCTAAAAACCTCACTGGTAATGGCATTCACAGCAGGAAGACTGGCTGGAGAAAAATCAGCGGCCTTTAAGTACAATGCAAAGGTAGAGGACAGAGATAGAGTTTCCAATCTGCCAGCCAGTGATGAAGTAACTAAATATCCAAATTAAGCACTTTTCATCCTTTCTCACTTCCCTCCTCAGATGTTTCTGTTTAGTTTTTTGGGGGATTTTTTTCATTCAGTTTTGACATTTGCTTTTCCACCCACTGAATCATCAAATCTTAAATTGTGTGATTGTACAGCAAGAAGGCACCATTATCCTCCTCTTCACTGACATCTCTAAAGATAAAGATAACCCCCCTGTAGCGTCCCCATGGCAGGGACAGGCAAGCAGCAGGAGAGGAATGGGAGAGATGCCATCTCCTCATCAAAGAATGCTCCAGATTTTAGCTGAGGTCTCACAGAAGCCCTGAGCAGCATCCAGGCCCAGCCTAGACTGTGACACATTTGGGTGATGTCTTTTACCTTGGGGCTGATTGACCTCGCACCAAACCAGCTACTCAGGCACACGCAGCCACATCGACAGTCCTCTCACTGAAAGATTTGCTGTCTCTTTCTCTGCATAAGATTGACATCAATTGTACGTGTTGAGCAAGTAGCTGGCACTTCTTATTAGTTTTCTACTGGGGCACTGCCACAGAAGTTGTTTATGTCTGTCTGTTACAATCAGGAAACACGTCTTGTTTAGCTGACTCGCAGCAACAACTTGATTGCTGAATTTTCATGTGAATTTGTGTGACCTTCTGGAGCCTTGTTAATTAAAACCGTCAATCAAATAGGTAAATAATGCATGCATCACACATGAACACTATGTAGCAATAAGTGTATCTGAAGAATGAAAAGCTTTTAAGCCTGCAGGAGAAATAAGCTGTGTTTCTTGTCAAGTAGCCTAGAGAAGGTTTTATGTTCACAATGGCGGTTAAAGGCTCTTAGAGGGCAAACACACTGCTGTTTGAATGACAAAATCAAAAATGCACAATGCCAAGCAATGTTGTTTTAATGAAACTGCAGAATATGTATTTTACATGTTTGTATTTTTGTGCTCATGTGCTGTTTGGTTTCATTTAAAGCAACATTTACAGCTCAGTCACACTAGAGTAAAGAACGGGACAGCAACCGCCTTGAGACTAGAAAAAAGTAAAGAAATTGCCTATAGTTGCATTGAATGTTTTTGCTGTTAGCCGACAACCCCAAGTAGTTGGGGCAACCAACAGAGATTGAGAGACTAAGCGTATAGCATCCTTGACCTCTGGGTGACCTGTTTCGATCGCCAGGTGACTGCACAGGTCACCTTGTGGGAGGCAATCTGTCTTCAACCAATCTCGGTCCGACTCGGACTGACTGCTATCACTCTCAGACAGGTTTTCAAAGGTTTGCAAACAACTGGCCACTAATTTATAAATGCAGACAGATTGCCAACGTGTTGCAATCAATCTGAGTCCATCTGCATTGGTGACTGCAACTCATCCATATTCTTCCACTTATCCCACTCAGGGTCAAAGAGGGGACAAGCGGAGAGGCAGGGTCTACTCTAGACTGGTCGCTGCTTTGTCACAGGGCTAACACAGAGAGTTGGACAACCACTTACTCTCACATTCACTCCTATACTCCGTTTGGAATCAGCAATCAACTTAACCTAACGTCTGTGGGAGGAAGCCACAGGACCCAGAAAGAATGCACACAGAAATTGTGCCAACATGGATTCAAACCCAGGACCTTGCAGTGAAGCGACAGTGCTAACCACCACCACTATCTGCGACGTGTCTCTTTACAATAGATGACTCCACTATATACAATGTAACTGCTGCAGGATGTCATTTTGCAGTTAAATCACCATCCGGCAGCAGTTACATCACTATTATTTCATTATTTCTGATTCCAATCTGACCTTGTGACAGCACTCTAAAAATAAGTAGTTAATATGAAATTCCATTTGATGAGAATTGATGTGTATCTGCAACAGATTTGCAGTTTTCGCCAATGTATTCAGTTAATTATTGTATTTATTCACAAATATATAAATATATAAATATTCACAAATATTTATGTACTGATGGGAGACCAACCTCGTGTTACTGCCATTTCATCACTGTTTTGATGCAGTTGTTTGAAGATGGCAACTGACTGTGAGTGGTCTTTAAAGCAACCATTTCAAAGGCAACAAGATCTCATGTTCATTGCACACAATTATATTAGATTTGTTTGTGCTGTAATACATCAAGGCTGGTCTTCTGAGTGTTTTGTAATATATTTTGTGTCACACAATAAGCCCAACACTTGGGAAACGGTGTAATAATCCGATTATATATCTAGACTGATGTTCATCTAATGACATGTTCACTGGATGAAGGTCCCTGGGGGGGGGGCAGTTCCTGAAGACACTGAAATCAGTAATTACTAAAACATGCAACCCATTGAGCACACACAAAAATCAACAACCAATTACGTGAGCCTATTGACCAAGTGCAAATAACAGTCTGATGGGCTGCGGTGTTCAAGGGCCATTGATTTGGTTTTGTGTTAATGTTCCTGCATATGTGCTGGACTGCAATGTGCCTCTTGCGTAATTAGCCACCTGTGTGAAATTCAATTTCTTTGGGTTAATCCAATTTTAATTTTCCTTCTGAAGCAAATGTATAAGGTGCATAAACAATCTTCAAATGTGTGCGTGCATTTTCTTTTGCAATTGAAATCAATATATTTTCAACATAGCATTGCACGGTTGTTTTACTAGGCCCACACACCACCACCTCTCACCACTCCCTCCTTCCTTCCCCCCTCTGTCACTCGCTCGCTCTCTCCTTCTCTTTAGCCTCTCCTCTTTGTGACAGGAACCATTCGGCTGGCCAGACGAGCCAGTGTGCTTTCTATAGCTGACTGGTGACTGGACGCTGCAGGCGAGTATCACTCATATCTAAACCAACAATTATAAAGAAAGGAGGAGGAAAGAAGAAAAAAAAGGGAAACAGCGAGCCATTTGACAGAAACTTACATCCACAGCAGTCACTTAAGCCTGAGAGCTGAGGTGACCTTCTCAGATTTCATTTCATTTGGTCTTTTTTTTCCCCTCCCTCTTTCCCAGAACATGTGAGTAATTAGAGCAGAAACATTTCCCTCACACAACCAGGCTGGCTGTCTGAGCACGGAGGTGCTTTAGTGTCTCTGTCTGTATGCAGACGAGATTCACTAAAACTATTCTTATAGCAAACATTGTTACAGTAGCTCCTCTGGATAGCGGATAGCCTGTGAAAACACAGCAGTTGTCAAGAGCACGTGTGTTGTGATTATCCATATTGTCGCATGCAGTGAGTCATTTCAGAAGATGTGGTGATCATATAGCAAAGGCATTCTACTATATCTACTTTGCTTATCGAGAGCAGAGTGTAGTGCCAAATGCAGACATGAACGCCGGGCTTCTTGGAGATACTAAAACTAAGTGGAGCCCATCCCTCAAGACCCCTAAACACTTAGGATACAAGGAGGTTGCATATGTGTAATATATTTAGGATACATCATATATGAATAATTCCTGTGACCTTCCTTTAGTTAAAGCCTGCCTCTGACTCCCACAAGACTCTTGTCATTCCACACAATGACAATTGTGCCAAATATAGACCACCTAATTGATATTAACAGAGAGAATGGCTTGTGACAACCAAAAGAAAAAACTCTTTCTCTTTGCATCGTTATTCTTGCTTTTCTTCTCTCCAGTATGACACATCTTTCTGACCCAAATGAAACAGCTATGCGTAATCTTCCGTACTCTCTGTTATTAAAGCATATTTAAAAAGATACAAGTTATGGGATGAGGTGGTTTTATAATTGCCAAAGAGGGTTTATACCGATAAGACTGTGTCCGTTGTTTCTTTTTAACCCTTTAGCGCTGCACGGCATATAGCATATAGTTTATTCACCATCTTCTTCCTCGTTACAGCGCAGTAAATGTTTGGGACCTTATGTTACAAAAAAAGTGATGTAAAACAGAGGTCGAGCACCGTGTAAGCAGAAAGATGTACTGTAACCTTCTCAAAGTTAGGACTAAATAAGAACCGAAACACTTCTTCGCTCAGTCAGCCACACAACGCCCATCTTCATCGAGGGGGAATTAAAAGGAAACAAGCCGAGGAAAAGCAGTTTCCTTTTATATTTTGTCCTTACCGTCGAAGACCTTGAAAGGACGACGGCCACGACATCCTTGATTTCTTCAGCCCGGGTCGGTGCCCCGTGTCCACTGCGTAAGTCCGGTCCATGTTCCTCGGGTTGAGGTATCTCTCGGTGTCCGAAAAGCCTCTTTGTCTTACACGGTCGTTCTTGCGCACTACCAGCGCGTGGTGGAGCGGAGAGAGCGCTGCCTGATTCTGCTGCCTCCACAGATGTTTGGGCGCCTTTGCACTCACGCCGGTTCCGCCGCCAGCGACCAGAGGCGCCGTCCCCACTTTGCCACAGGCGGGATCCATCCTCCTCCCCACGCTGGTTATAAAATTGTTTTTTAAAAACTAAATCTACACTTTGGGAGCATTTAAGTTGAATGAGTCAGGAAAGCTTACAGGAGGTTGACTAACAGCTGCGAGTTCAGGTGTTTTTTTTTTTGTTTTTTTTTTTAATAAAACAAAATCAAATAATACAAGCAAGTAGACAACTTTGTTGTTTTGTTTTGCTTTTTTAGCTACCCGGGTACTTCACGTCCAGTTTTTGATTTTTAGCTCACGTAATGAGCTTAACTCCATCAACTTTATCGCTGACACCATGCGCAAACACACTGAAGCAGTGAGATAAAAACGAATCCATTTACGCATCACGAGGAAGACCTTTAAACTGCAGTTTTGGGGATGTATCCCTGAGTAAAGCTACGAGAAAGAACTCTCAGGTCAGTCTGGTTTCCAAGTGCTCCCCACTTCCTCCGCACACGCCCATTTCTGCAAGGTGCTTGTATTGCTGCGGCAGTGCGAGATGTTCAGCACAGGATGGTCCAAACGGACGGATGGTCTCCCCAAATGATGCAAACTTGTGCAAAACCAGTTCAAGGTAACTTGGCGCAGAGTTATGCGTAAAAGCATCCGGACTTGACAACACTGTCTCCCGTCTTCATGTCCCCTGCAGGAAAAAAGCGGCGACAGGATATAGGGAACAGGATAATACATTAAACATGAGGGACCCACCCAAAGTACCTCCCCTAAAAACCTCCATGATTGGAAAAAAAAAA